CCACCCACAACCATCACTAGGTACCACACTCACCACCCACAAACATCACTAGGTACCACACACTCACCACCCACAACCATCACTAGGTACCACACACTCACCACCCACAACCATCACCAGGTACCAACACTCACCACCCACAACCATCACTAGGTACCACACTCACCACCCACAACCACTACCAGGTACCAACACTCACCACCCACAACCATCACTAGGTACCACACACTCACCACCCACAACCACAACCAGGTACCACACACTCACCACCCACAACCACTACCAGGTACCAACACTCACCACCCACAACCATTACTAGGTACCACACTCACCACCCACAACCACTACCAAGTACCAACACTCCACCCACAACCATCACTAGGTACCACACACTCACCACCCACAACCACTACCAGGTACCACACACTCACCACCCACAACCACTACCAGGTACCAACACTCACCACCCACAACCATCACTAGGTACCACACTCACCACCCACAACCATCACTAGGTACCAACACTCACCACCCACAACCATCACCAGGTACCACACACTCACCACCCACAACCATCACCAGGTACCACACACTCACCACCCACAACCATCACCAGGTACCACACTCACCACCCACAACCATCACTAGGTACCACACACTCACCACCCACAACCACTACCAGGTACCACACTCACCACCCACAACCATCACTAGGTACCACACACTCACCACCCACAACCATCACCAGGTACCACACTCACCACCCACAACCATCACTAGGTAACACACACTCACCACCCACAACCACTACCAGGTACCACACTCTCCACCCACAACCATCACTAGGTACCACACACTCACCACCCACAACCACTACCAGGTACCACACTCACCACCCACAACCACTACCAGGTACCACACTCACCACCCACAACCACTACCAGGTACCACACTCACCACCCACAAGCATCACTAGGTACCACACACTCACCACCCACAACCACTACCAGGTACCACACTCACCACCCACAACCACTACCAGGTACCACACTCACCACCCACAACCACTACCAGGTACCACACACTCACCACCCACAACCATCACTAGGTACCACACTCACCACCCACAACCACTACCAGGTACCACACTCACCACCCACAACCATCACCAGGTACCACACTCAACACCCACAACCACTACCAGGTACCACACACTCACCACCCACAACCATCACCAGGTACCACACTCACCACCCACAACCACTACCAGGTACCACACTCACCACCCACAACCACTACCAGGTACCACACTCACCACCCACAACCATCACCAGGTACCACACTCACCACCCACAACCACTACCAGGTACCACACACTCACCACCCACAACCATCACCAGGTACCACACTCACCACCCACAACCACTACCAGGTACCACACTCACCACCCACAACCATCACCAGGTACCACACACTCACCACCCACAACCATCACCAGGTACCACACTCACCACCCACAACCACTACCAGGTACCACACTCACCACCCACAACCATCACCAGGTACCAACACTCACCACCCACAACCATCACCAGGTACCACACTCACCACCCACAACCACTACCAGGTACCACACTCACCACCCACAACCATCACCAGGTACCAACACTCACCACCCACAACCATCACCAGGTACCACACTCACCACCCACAACCATCACCAGGTACCACACACTCACCACCCACAACCATCACCAGGTACCACACACTCACCACCCACAACCATCACCAGGTACCACACTCACCACCCACAACCATCACTAGGTACCAACACTCACCACCCACAACCATCACCAGGTACCAACACTCACCACCCACAACCATCACTAGGTACCACACTCACCACCCACAACCACTACCAGGTACCAACACTCACCACCCACAACCATCACTAGGTACCACACACTCACCACCCACAACCACTACCAGGTACCACACACTCACCACCCACAACTATCACCAGGTACCACACACTCACCACCCACAACCATCACTAGGTACCACACTCACCACCCACAACCACTACCAGGTACCACACACTCACCACCCACAACCATCACCAGGTACCACACACTCACCACCCACAACCATCACTAGGTACCACACTCACCACCAACAACCAGGTACCACACACTCACCACCCACAACCATCACTAGGTACCACACTCACCACCCACAACCACTACCAGGTACCACACTCACCACCCACAACCATCACCAGGTACCACACTCACCACCCACAACCACTACCAGGTACCAACACTCACCCCCCACAACCACTACCAGGTACCAACACTCACCACCCACAACCACTACCAGGTACCACACACTCACCACCCACAACCACTATCAGGTACCACACACTCACCACCCACAACCACTACCAGGTACCAACACTCACCACCCACAACCATCACCAGGTACCACACTCACCACCCACAACCACTACCAGGTACCAACACTCACCACCCACAACCACTACCAGGTACCAACACTCACCACCCACAACCATCACTAGGTACCACACTCACCACCCACAACCATCACTAGGTACCACACTCACCACCCACAACCACTACCAGGTACCAACACTCACCACCCACAAGCATCACTAGGTACCACACTCACCACCCACAACCATCACTAGGTACCACACTCACCACCCACAACCACTACCAGGTACCAACACTCACCACCCACAACCATCACTAGGTACCACACTCACCACCCACAACCATCACTAGGTACCACACTCACCACCCACAACCACTACCAGGTACCATCACTCACCACCCACAACCACTACCAGGTACCAACACTCACCACCCACTACCAGGTACCAACACTCACCACCCACAACCACTACCAGGTACCAACATTCACCACCCACTACCAGGTACCAACACTCGCCACCCACAACCATCACCAGGTACCACAATAACCACTCCCCTACCTCCTACAGGTGATGTACAACGGGCTGGAGGTCCTCCGGGAGGTGCAGGAGGACCCTAAGTCGTCGCAGGTGTATGGAGTCGAGTGGGAGTGTTCGGAGGAGTTCGATGCCACCCCCGACGTGGCTATCAGCTTCATCAAACCCGGAGCGTACGTGGCCTTCCAGGACTCCTACCCCAGGACGGGAGGATCCATCAAGATGGAGATCAAGACGCAGTCAGAACACGCACTACTTCTCTATAACACCGGGCCACCATCCAGGTAATTCCTAAGTTAATGATCCCATCAGACAGTTTTCTCTGATAAAAAGCCGAGAATGAACGTTTTCTCATCTCAATTGAACATGAGAATTGTGTTATCCATTACTCGCTCAACTTCATATGTTTGTTTACATCGTAGTAGTAGTCGAACTTCAGGCATTTTATTGACACTATTTAACGTTTGATGTTCTGGTCTTAGTTCCGGGGGCCAGTGACCCCTCGGCCAGCATCCTGGCGGAAGGTTTGGTCATATAAAATGTTGCTGCTTGTAGCTCTCAGATCAATATAGAGTTTCTAGCCTCGTTGATCAGGTTACTGCTGTTGATGGTTATCAAGTTCCTTCTTGAACACAATGGGGGTTTGCTGGCAGTTTCTCTTCAATTCAGAGGGAGTGTGATACGCCATGAGGCCTTATGGGTTATATATTTATATCTTAGTGTACTTATTGCACCTCTAAATTGTTATGTGCGTATGGACAAGAATATCTTGTTCATTCTATCGTGCTTCCAGAGTGATGGGCACAACATTAAGAACAGCTTGGTTATAGCTTTCTTAACATTAAGCAATATAGTCGTAACGGCTTGGTGATTTCTCCTGAAAATTACGAATCCAGGTCTTACAAGGAATATTAACAATCTGTAGATTACGGATCACTTTCACCTGCTTTCCACAGAATACAGTACATCCCATTTTAAGCGTTCTCGGTATTTTTTTATCGAAGATATTCGTGCATTAATGTACTCTACTGCACAGTCTCCAAATTAACAAGTTCCTTAGGTTCTAATGAAGCAGTTAACACCTTACAGATCCAGTCTAGAGAGCATAATGGTTTTAATAATGTTAACATTGCCTTGACATTTTCTTTTTTTTACTTCGTTGATTTTTTTTTTTTTTGCACTAGAGATCAAAGCATTTTTGTTTTAATTATAATGTTTTCCGACAGGATAAGTCTCAGTTCTTGAAAGTTTTCTTTCTGATCTATGGAATGGTTTGAGTGTTTTTAATGCGGTTGAAGGTTTAATCTCACAGTTGTATTTTGTGGAATGGTTTAACTTTGGTTCAAGTTTTAATTTCTTCGCCTTACTCTTGGTATATAACCAGTAAGTGGGTATATACTAAGAGTTAACAATGACTTCATATTGTTTGTTGTGGCCCATTGTATGACTTGGTTTACATAAATGTTGGAGGTATTTTATCCTCTATGGATACTATACATAGAGGTGTATATATGTAAGCTATGAGAGTGGGAAGAGCATTAGAGCACGACACCCAATCCACAAATCTAAAAATCAAAGTACTGCCGATGTTTCGCTCTGTCCTGGACCGTTATCAATAAGTAACGGACCGAAACGTCGAAAATTCCTTTAGTTTCAGATTTATGGGTTGGATGCCTTATACTAAGCCCTATATATTTTAAATATATTTTTATATCATTGTGTTACATGTTATTGTGCCTGTTCCCAGAACATCGAAAGCTCTTGCTTGACTTCCTTAACTAGTGCTCTGTGGATCAATACATTTCTTTAAGACAGAGATGGTTATAAACAATGAGGTCCAGACCAAAGTTCGTTCATGACTGCAGCTTTCAAGAAACAGCTTTAGCCTGCCTTTCATCTAGGTAATAACTACTGTCTTTCTTCCTCCTACAGATCCGATTTTATCGCCCTTGAGATCTATGAGGGTCACCTCAGGCTCATCCTCGATAAAGGCAATGGAGCTGTCGGCCTCAACAGGTACACACACACACACACGCATATATATAATATATATATAATATTTATTTATTTATTTGTCGTTTCAACATTCATTTGAGTGTAATTTTGTTGTTTTTAAATATTATTAGAAACTTCTTTTTGAAAATTATTTCACATTTGTAATGAGTTTTACTTAATGTTATACGACGAAATATGTTCATAAATCAGTCGTCTGCCCGGACAGTGAATCCGGATATAAATGCTGGCATACTCTATGTGTAAATTTATGAATAACGTTACGTATAATTGGCATAATTTATGTATGTGTAATGTAAATATTTATCTCATAGGTCCACCTATTTCTCCCGCACCTCTCACTGAAATACAATCCTCATTATAGATTCTTGACGCCTTATATGTCAAGTTGTTCACCTATTCATATATATATATATATATATATATATATATATATATATATATATATATATATATATATATATATATATATATATATATATATATATATATACCCTGTTCACTGTATATACCTTATGCACATCATTTACGCTAAACTCATCTTATGCCCTGTACTATGACTTAGCCTGTCCTCATTATATACCCTGTACCATACACTCTTCATTATATAACTGTACACATACACTTTTCATTATATAACCTGTACACATACACTTTTCATTATATAACCTGTACACATACAGTCTTTTCATTATATACCCTGTACACATACACTCTTCATTATATACCGTGTACACACTTATACCCCTGTACCTACTATAGTTCATGTATTTTTATACAGTATATGTTGTTCTCAGGCGTTCAATCCCCGACCGTCCATAAGTGTTCGGGCACTATTCCTTCCCCCCGTCCCATCACAAATCCTTATCCTGACCCCTTCCAAGTGTTATATAGTATAATGGCTGTCTTGTACGGTCAACAATCAAGTTGGTATACATCACTGTATAGTCTTGGTTGTCCTTACTTTCTGGTGTACAATTACCCTCTTTTGTAATATGATAAAGAAATTGATGCTCCACATGGAAGCTAAGATTTCCGTGATGCCATTAACTTCCCCGTGTCACCTTTTTTTGTATTGAAGGGATTCGAACCCTCGACCTGGGTACTGCCAGTCACGCACCTCACCTCTGGGCCACTTTATAACATGTCCAGCATCTCTTCAAATTTTATTACGGGCTCACCATAGCCCGTGCTACATGGACTCTTCGTCCTGAGCAGCTAAGTCTTTAACAACAACAACTCTTCAGATTTTTTCACAAGACTAAAACCCAGTGCGCTAAAACAGAAGCGAAAAAAGAAACGGGGATAAAGGAGGAAACCCCACCTCCATTTAAAACTTTGACCCAAATATCACAATAACAATGGTATCACGAATAACCGAACTCAATTACGGGCTCACTATAGCCCGTGCTACATGGACATTTCATTCTGAGTAGCTAAAACTAAAACAACAACATCTTCAGATTTTTACGGTCTATTCATGCCCGTGCCACCTCTTGGGTGGCTTAATCTTCATCAATCATCAGATTTACTGCCTGCTCCTGTGCCAGGTAAGTCCACTACGGGCTCACCCTAGCCCGTGCTACTTGCCCCGCTCCTGTGGCAGGTAAGTCCACTACGGGCTCACCCTAGCCCGTGCTACTTGCCCCGCTCCTGTGCCTGGTAAGTCCACTACGGGCTCACCCTAGCCCGTGCTACTTGCCCCGCTCCTGTGCCTGGTAAGTCCACTACGGGCTCACCCTAGCCCGTGCTACTTGCCCCGCTCCTGTGCCTGGTAAGTCCACTACGGGCTCACCCTAGCCCGTGCTACTTGCCCCGCTCCTGTGCCAGGTAAGTCCACTACGGGCTCACCCTAGCCCGTGCTACTTTGGAACTTACTGTTGCCAGTAGGTGAATCTTCAACAACAACTCTTCAGATGTAATCTTACATCTCACTCCTCCAGCTTCACCAACGCACTCTTTATACTCTTAAAGACGTTACAGATGTATTGTGATGAATTAACAGCCTCTCCATCTTGGAAATGTTTCAATAGAATATAAACAAAATATATAATTCTAGCAGGTACCTATAAGGATCAGCATCATTACAAATACATTTCAGCTTCCTGTAAATTACCTGTAGAGGATTTCGATAGTTCTTCTACTGCCAGAGTCTGACTTCTTGTCAGCTTTCCTTGGTGATTGCCTGGAGCCAAATTCACGAAGCAGTTACGCAAGCACTTGGATAGTGATTCACGGTTGTGATAATGATTCACGGTTGTGATAGTGATTCACGATTGTGATAGTGATCCACAGCTGCACTGTTGATTTGACCTCGGTTAAACCCAGTCTTGTTTTCCCCGTCTACTTTGTTTTGCCAAATTTTCTCCCTCCCCCCCCCCCTCTCTCTCTCTCTCTGTCTCTCTGTCTCTCTATCTCTCTCTGTCTCTCTCTCTCTGTCTCTCTCTCTGTCTCTCTATCTGTCTCCCTCTCTCTCTCTCTCTCTCTCTCTCTCTCTCTCTCTCTCTCTCTCTCTCTCTCTCTCTCTCTCTCTCTCTCTCTCTCTCTCTCTCTCTCTCTCTCTCAGTGAATATATTGTTCCATGTGTTCCTCCCGCAGCTCCATCTTCATCAGTGACGGAGTGTGGCACAAGCTGGAGGCCCACTTCAAGCCTGCCTACATGGAACTCAACGTCGACGACCACATCGAGGACCAGCCAACCCACGTTGGCGAGAACAAGTTCTTTGACCTCTCCGGCTACCTCTTCATCGGGGGAGTGGAGGTCAACAGGCAAGCCCGAGCTGTCAGCCAGGGGGCCAAGAATGGTGACAAGAGGTTAGTGCAGAGTTTGAATTCTACCTTATAACCTGTTCGGGAAAAAAGGAAAGGGTGTATGCATGTATTTGTGAAGGATATCTTTTATGTCAGTTTGTTGGTTTATTCTTCGTGGTGTTCTGTGTTTTCTCAGTTGACTTCGGGTTTTTTGTTTTGTTTCTTATTTGAGGCTTTACCGGGGTTGTGTGGCTGTCTCAGACCATGGCAAGTGGGCACGTGGTCGTCCACACCATGGCAAGTGGGCACGTGGTCGGCCACACCATGGCAAGTGGGCACGTTGTCGGCCACACCATGGCAAGTGGGCACGTGGTCGTCCACACCATGGCAAGTGGGCACGTGGTCGTCCACACCATGGCAAGTGGGCACGTGGTCGGCCACACCATGGCAAGTGGGCACGTGGTCGTCCACACCATGGCAAGTGGGCACGTGGTCGGCCACACCATGGCAAGGGGGGCACGTGGTCGGCCACACCATGACAAGTGGGCACGTGGTCGTCCACACCATGGCAAGGGGGCACGTGGTCGGCCACACCATGGCAAGGGGGGCACGTGGTCGGCCACACCATGACAAGTGGGCACGTGGTCGTCCACACCATGGCAAGGGGGCACGTGGTCGGCCACACCATGGCAAGTGGGCACGTGGTCGTCCACACCATGGCAAGTGGGCACGTGGTCGTCCACACCATGGCAAGTGGGCACGTGGTCGGCCACACCATGGCAAGTGGGCACGTGGTCGTCCACACCATGGCAAGTGGGCACGTGGTCGGCCACACCATGGCAAGGGGGGCACGTGGTCGGCCACACCATGACAAGTGGGCACGTGGTCGTCCACACCATGGCAAGGGGGCACGTGGTCGTCCACACCATGGCAAGTGGGCACGTGGTCGGCCACACCATGGCAAGTGGGCACGTGGTCGTCCACACCATGGCAAGTGGGCACGTGGTCGTCCACACCATGGCAAGTGGGCACGTGGTCGGCCACACCATGGCAAGTGGGCACGTGGTCGTCCACACCATGGCAAGTGGGCACGTGGTCGGCCACACCATGGCAAGGGGGGCACGTGGTCGGCCACACCATGACAAGTGGGCACGTGGTCGTCCACACCATGGCAAGGGGGCACGTGGTCGGCCACACCATGGCAAGGGGGCACGTGGTCGTCCACACCATGGCAAGGGGGCACGTGGTCGGCCACACCATGGCAAGGGGGCACGTGGTCGGCCACACCATGGCAAGGGGGGCACGTGGTCGTCCACACCATGGCAAGGGGGCACGTGGTCGTAAACCACGTCGTTAAGCAGTGTCCTTAACTTGTATACCATGCAAGGTGATGGAGAAGATCGTGAGAAAAACCCTGGTAACACATCTGGAGAGAAGGGACTTCGTGACAACCCGTCAACATGGGTTCAGGGAGGGTAAATCTTGCCTTACAGGTTAATAGAGTTCTACGACCAAGTGACAAACATTAAACAAGAAAGATAAGGATGGGCGGACTGCATTTTCTTGGATTGTCGGAAAGCCTTTGACACAGTACCCCATAAAAGGCTGGTACATAAGCTGGAGAGACAGGCAGGAGTAACTGGTAAGGTGCTCCAGTTGATAAGGGAGTACTTAAGCAATAGGAAGCAGAGAGTTACAGTGAGGGGTGAGACCTCAGATTGGCGTGGTCACCAGTGGAGTCCCACAGGAATGGTCGAACAAATGGCTGTTAGAGGGGTAGGAAGCAGGAGACCAGATACAAGGTACCATTTGGGAGATGAAATACTTCAAGAGTCAGAGAGAAAGACCTGGGGGTTGATATCACGCCAGACCTGTCCCCTGAAGCTCATATCAAGAGGATAACATCAGCAGCATATGCCAGGTTGGCTAACATAAGAACGACCTTTAGAAACTTGTGTAAGGAATCTTTCAGAACATTATATATCACATATGTCAGACCAATCCTGGAGTATGCGGACCCCAGCATGGAGTCCATATCTAGTCAAGCATAAGACTAAACTGGAAAAGGTTCAAAGGTTTGCCACCAGACTAGTACCCGAGCTGAGAGGTATGAGCTACGAGGAGAGACTACGGGAATTAAACCTCACTTTGTTGGAAGATAGAAGAGTTAGGGGGGACATGATCACCAGATTCAAGATTCTCAAGGGAATTGATAGGGTAGATAAAGACAGGCTGTTTAACACAAAGGGCACACGCACTAGGGGACACAGGTGGAAACTGTGTGCCCAAATGAGCCACAGAGATATTAGAAAGAACTTTTTTAGTGTCAGAGTGGTTGACAAATGGAATGCATTAGGAAGTAATGTGGTGGAGGCTGACTCCATACACAGTTTCAAGTGTAGATATGATAGAGCCCAATAGGCTCAGGAACCTGTACACCTGTTAATTGACGGTTGAGAGGCGGGACAAAAGAGCCAGAGCTCAACCCCCGCAAGCACAAATAGGTGAGTACAGCCACCGGGGCACTGATGCCCCCGGGAATGCCCAACCAGCTCCTAGAGTAACCCGTTCTCTGTGATAACCATCTTTAATAAATTCATTGCGAGACATACTCCACAAGGGAAGAGGACAGCAACACGTATATACCACAAGGTGTGCGGATCGCAGCGTATATACTCTGCTTCTCAGTTTATATACGCTGAGAGTTGAGACATAAGTATAGTTGCTTGTTGATCGGTAAGTTATTAATCGTCCAGCGGTTGATTACATGAAGCGCGACTCTTGACCACATCCCCAGATATCTTTGTTGGTGTGGCCCATAATACAGCATCGCATCTAGAGTATGTTGGTTATATATCATACTGCACAGGCAGACATCCTATATGATGCATAATACCATACTGCTGCAGGCAGAGACATCCTATATGATGCATAATATCATACTGCTGCAGGCAGACATCCTATATGATGCATAATATCATACTGCTGCAGGCAGACATCCTATATGATGCATAATATCATACTGCTGCAGGCAGACATCCTATATGATGCATAATATCATACTGCTGCAGGCAGACATCCTATATGATGCATAATATCATACTGCTGCAGGCAGACATCCTATATGATGCATAATATCATACTGCTGCAGGCAGACATCCTATATGATGCATAATATCATACTGCTGCAGGCAGACATCCTATATGATGCATAATATCATACTGCTGCAGGCAGACATCCTATATGATGCATAATATTATGATGTCCATCTAATAGAGTCACGCAATTAATCACGTCACATCAATTAATCACGTCACATCAATTAATCACGTCACATCAATTAATCACGTCACATCAAAGACCTTTTATATACTTTCAAAAGTTAAACTTGAAGTGTTCCACTTACTACATTATTATTATGCTTATTATACCTCATTATAACTCTCCATAAAAATACTTTGTATTATTCAAAAGAATATTTCATCACGAAGAATAATGCTTATAGAGCGAAAATCTAAGCGTTATTAAAATGTTAAACTATACTCGGGACTTTGTATTAATATATATATATATATATATATATATATATATATATATATATATATATATATATATATATATTGTGTATAGAGGGCCGAGGTGTGTTTTTATATAGAGGGCGGATGTGTGCTTGTGTATAGAGGGCGGAGGTGTGCTTGTATATAGAGGGCGGAGGTGTGCTTGTATATAGAGGGCGGAGGTGTGCTTGTATATAGAGGGCGGAGGTGTGCTTGTATATAGAGGGCGGAGGTCTACTGGTATATAGAGGGCAGAGGTGTGCTTGTATATAGAGGGCGGAGGTATACTGGTATATAGAGGGCAGAGGTGTGCTTGTATATAGAGGGCGGAGGTGTGCTTGTATATAGAGGGCGGAGGTGTGCTTGTATATAGAGGGCGGAGGTGTGCTTGTATATAGAGGGCGGAGGTGTGCTTGTATATAGAGGGCGGAGGTGTGCTTGTATATAGAGGGCGGAGGTATACTGGTATATAGAGGGCAGAGGTGTGCTTGTATATAGAGGGCGGAGGTATACTGGTATATAGAGGGCAGAGGTGTGCTTGTATATAGAGGGCGGAGATGTGCTTGTGTATAGAGGGCCGAGGTGTGCTTGTATATAGAGGGCGGAGGTGTGCTTGTATATAGAGGGCGGAGGTGTGCTTATATATAGAGGGCGGAGGTGTGCTTGTATATAGAGGGCCGAGGTGTGCTTGTATATAGAGGGTGGAGGTGTGCTTGTATATAGAGAGCGGAGGTGTGCTTGTATATAGAGGGCGGAGGTATACTGGTATATAGAGGGCAGAGGTGTGCTTGTATATAGAGGGCGGAGGTGTGCTTGTATATAGAGGGCGGAGGTGTGCTTGTATATAGAGGGCGGAGGTGTGCTTGTATATAGAGGGCGGAGGTGTGCTTGTATATAGAGGGCGGAGGTGTGCTTGTATATAGAGGGCGGAGGTATACTGGTATATAGAGGGCAGAGGTGTGCTTGTATATAGAGGGCGGAGGTATACTGATATATAGAGGGCAGAGGTGTGCTTGTATATAGAGGGCGGAGATGTGCTTGTGTATAGAGGGCCGAGGTGTGCTTGTATATAGAGGGCGGAGGTGTGCTTGTATATAGAGGGCGGAGGTGTGCTTATATATAGAGGGCGGAGGTGTGCTTGTATATAGAGGGCCGAGGTGTGCTTGTATATAGAGGGTGGAGGTGTGCTTGTATATAGAGAGCGGAGGTGTGCTTGTATATAGAGGGCGGAGGTATACTGGTATATAGAGGGCAGAGGTGTGCTTGTATATAGAGGGCGGAGGTGTGCTTGTATATAGAGGGCGGAGGTGTGCTTGTATATAGAGGGCGGAGGTGTGCTTGTATATAGAGGGAGGAGGTATACTGGTATATAGAGGGCAGAGGTGTGCCGGGTCTGCATTACCATCATTCTCTACTGTGTTAATCTTGCTCCAGTGCCATTGGCGGCTCCTCCCCCACGCACCTTTCCATTTCATTAATTCCCGCCGGCATGCCATGGTGGTGTTGTGACGTGATGTTGTTGTTTGTCTCTCGCCGCCTCTCCTCTCATCTCCACCAAAGTTTACCCTCCCAGACTTGGGTTATGTGTTGATGCGGAAGATTAATGGAGTTAATGCCTTTATCAGCACCCGCCGTCTTCGCTTAGTATATATGGAGATGAGGTGTGTATGGTGATTAAGTCATATTAACGAAGTTGCCAGCTCTGGTGTCTCTCCCCCTCGCCATATTCATTAGTATGGCAGTGTGCGCGCCTTGAACACGTATATATGGTGATGTGCGTTGGTGTAATTACTGCTTCTCTCTCTCTCCCCTACAGCCTCGAGGGCTGCATCCAGAGCGTGAGTGTAGGGGAGAAAAGCTTGAGCATTCGGGACGCCCAGATCACCCAGGGCATCAAGGCCGAGTGCCAGTGGGCGTACCCATGCCTCAAGAACCCCTGTGTGGATGGCAGCCGCTGCCTTCAGGAAGGCACTGACGGGTTCAAGTGCGAGTGCGACCTGGCCCTCTGCGTGCGCCAGAACTTCACCACCGCCTACAAGGTCTTCACCAAAACTACTCTGCCCTTTGATCTCGAGGTACGCTCACTCCGTTCTCTTATTGTCTATGCCTTAACCTGTGTTCTGTGCCCTAGTTTATAGCCATAACTGGAGTAGAATATAAATTATCATAAGACATTTAGAGTAATATATCCTGGAATATATATATTTACTTATATTTACATGACACTGTCCACCGTCATTCTTATAATATTCCTTTTCTCCTCCCCGGAGTTAAACGGTTGGTTCATCATGTCACATTGTTGTGTGCAGGTGCTGAGTCTGACGCCCATGGAGGTGCAGGAGGGCGGCCAGGCGCTCATCACCTCAGACCATCTTAACCTCGTCCTCGACTATGAGAAGGTGGGTGGTGGTAGTGGGTGAAGGTGGGTGGTGGTAGTGGGTGAAGGTGGGTGGTGGTAGTGGGTGAAGGTGGGTGGTGGTAGTGGGTGAAGGTGGGTGGTGGTAGTTGGTGAAGGTGGGTGGTGTTAGTGGGTGAAGGTGGGTGGTGGTAGTGGGTGAAGGTGGGTGGTGTTAGTGGGTGAAGGTGGGTGGTGGTAGTGGGTGAAGGTGGGTGGTGTTAGTGGGTGAAGGTGGGTGGTGGTAGTGGGTGAAGGTGGGTGGTGTTAGTGGGTGAAGGTGGGTGGGGTTAGTGGGTGAAGGTGGGTGGTGGTAGTGGGTGAAGGTGGGTGGTGTTAGTGGGTAAAGGTGGGTGGTGTTAGTGGGTAAAGGTGGGTGGTGTTAGTGGGTGAAGGTGGGTGGTGTTAGTGGGTGAAGGTGGGTGGTGTTAGTGGGTGAAGGTGGGTGGGGTTAGTGGGTGAAGGTGGGTGGTGGTAGTGGGTGAAGGTGGGTGGTGTTAGTGGGTAAAGGTGGGTGGTGTTAGTGGGTAAAGGTGGGTGGTGTTAGTGGGTGAAGGTGGGTGGTGTTAGTGGGTGAAGGTGGGTGGTGTTAGTGGGTGAAGGTGGGTGGTGTTAGTGGGTGAAGGTGGGTGGGGTTAGTGGGTGAAGGTGGGTGGTGTTAGTGGGTGAAGGTGGGTGGTAAGTAGTAATATTGGTGTCAGTGGGTGATGGTGGGTACTAAGCATTAGTGGTGGTGTCAGTGGGTGAAGGTGGGTACTAAGCATTAGTGGTGGTGTCAGTGGGTGATGGTGGGTACTAAGCATTAGTGGTGGTGTCAGTGGGTGATGGTGGGTACTAAGCATTAGTGGTGGTGTCAGTGGGTGAAGGTGGGTACTAAGCATTAGTGGTGGTGTCAGTGGGTGAAGGTGGGTACTAAGCATTAGTGGTGGTGTCAGTGGGTGATGGTGGGTACTAAGCATTAGTGGTGGTGTCAGTGGGTGATGGTGGGTACTAAGCATTAGTGGTGGTGTCAGTGGGTGATGGTGGGTACTAAGCATTAGTGGTGGTGTCAGTGGGTGAAGGTGGGTATCAGACTAAAACATATTCACAAGTTGCACTAACGTCACACGTAATTAAACAAATGGAAAGTGTGATGAGGAGTGTGATCACCAGTAGCGTGGAGACCAATGACCTCCACAACCCAGGTCAACATGAAATTAGAGGAGGAAAGTCATGCCTTTCGCAGTTACTTAATCACTATGACAAAATATAGGAAGCATTTGAAGAACAGCAAAATGCAGATGTGGTGCACATCGACATTTTCAAAGGCATTTGATAAGTGTGACATGGATTGAAACCACATAAAATGAGATTAGTTGGAATAATACGTAAAGTAGGGCGATAGATATTCAGTTTCGTGTCTAACAGAACACAAAGAGTAAAAAGTCAATTAAATTAAATCCAAGCACGGTGAAAAGCACTGTACCTCAGGGCACAGTTTTTGCACCACTGGTTTTTCTCATTCTCATATCAGTTATAGACAAAAATGCAAATCACAGCTTTGTGTCATTTTTGCAAAGACACAAAAATCAGCATGAAAATTACTTGTGTAGAAGACACTGAAAAATTGCCAGCTGATATTAAGTTCGATTGGGCAAGAGAAATAACATGATGTTTAACAGTGATAAATTTCAATTACTTAGGTAGGGAAAAATTAAGACCTTAAACCAAATTCAAATTAAAAGACACAATTAGGTCTGCCCATAGTAGGAAAGCAACATGTGAAGGATATAGGAATAATGACGTCTGACGACCTAACATTTAAGGAACAAATATAAATATTCCAAGCAAATATTGCGTCAGCCAGAAAAATAACAGAATGGATTAAGAGAACCTTCAAATCCAGGGATCTCATCACAATGGTTGTACTATATAAATCACTTGTACTGTCCGGTCTTGAGTACTGCTCAGTACTCACTTTCCCCTTCAGAGCAGGAGAGATTGCTGAAATAGAAGGAGTACAGAATACATACGTCATACATAAACGCGATAAAGCACCTTAATTATTGAGATCGTCTTAAAAGCACTAAAATATACAATCTAGAAGGAAATCAAGAAAGTCCTGGAGGTATCGTGGAAAAGTTTCAAGATCATTACTGAACTCTTTCACAAATATGGGCCAAAAAGGAGAGAGAAAAGAAAAGAAAAGGAACTAGATAGATGACACAGTAAAAATAGCTCTGATTACTAAGCAGAAAGGAATTATAGTCACATGGAATAAATGGCAGAATACTAGAATGACTAAAACAATGGTTAAAACAAAGAAACCATAAGGTGGTGCTAAACGGGAATAAGTCTGACGGAAGAAATGTGATGAGGAGGGTATAACAGGGATCTACTTTGTAGCAAATCCTTTTTGTCATATACATCAATGCCATAAAGGAGGAGGCCTGGTCGAGGTCCGGGCCGCGGGGACGCTAAGCCCCGAAATCACCTCAAGATAACTGAAGATAACCTCAAGATAGATGAGAATATTACAAACCACAGCATCAAATTTGCAGATAACACTAAGATTTATGGTAAAGTAGTTAGTGAAAATGATATTAATGCCTTACAAAGGTCTGAATTCCAGAAATGGATTCCATAAATGGTCAGAAGACTGGCAAATGGTTTTTAATATAGAAAATTCCAAGATCTTGCATCCACGTCACAACTACTAAATTAACAACATTACCTTGCAGCAGATTGAGTAAGAAAATGACACTGGAGTCAGAATCCATCATTCACTGAACGATGCACAACAAATGGGACTAGTAGAAATACAAACAAACAAAAAAATACTCTATGTGAATAATCATGCGAACCTTTGTGATTAAGGAAAAGAAGGTAGAATACAGTTTTATAAATCTCGGGTACATTTAACTCACCAGTCCAGTACACTCACCAGTCCTGTACACTCACCAGTCCAGTACACTCACCAGTCCAGTACACTCACCAGTCCAGTACACTCACCAGTCCAGTACACTCACCAGTCCAGTACACTCACCAGTCCTGTACACTCACCAGTCCTGTACACTCACCAGTCCTGTACACTCACCAGTCCAGTACACTCACCAGTCCAGTACACTCACCAGTCCTGTACAATCACCAGTCCAGTACACTCACCAGTCCTGTACACTCACCAGTCCTGTACACTCACCAGTCCTGTACACTCACCAGTCCTGTACACTCACCAGTCCTGTACACTCACCAGTCCTGTACACTCACCAGTCCAGTACACTCACCAGTCCAGTACACTCACCAGTCCAGTACACTCACCAGTCCAGTACACTCACCAGTCCTGTACACTCACCAGTCCAGTACACTCACCAGTCCAGTACACTCACCAGTCCAGTACACTCACCAGTCCAGTACACTCACCAGTCCAGTACACTCACCAGTCCAGTACACTCACTAGTCCAGTACACTCACCAGTCCAGTACACTCACCAGTCCTGTACACTCACCAGTCCTGTACACTCACCAGTCCTGTACACTCACCAGTCCAGTACACTCACCAGTCCAGTACACTCACCAGTCCAGTACACTCACCAGTCCAGTACACTCACCAGTCCAGTACACTCACCAGTCCAGTACACTCACCAGTCCGGTACACTCACCAGTCAGGTACACTCACCAGTCCTGTACACTCACCAGTCCAGTACACTCACCAGTCCAGTACACTCACCAGTCCAGTACACTCACCAGTCAGGTACACTCACCAGTCAGGTACACTCACCAGTCAGGTACACTCACCAGTCCTGTACACTCACCAGTCCAGTACACTCACCAGTCCAGTACACTCACCAGTCCAGTACACTCACCAGTCCAGTACACTCACCAGTCCAGTACACACACCAGTCCAGTACACTCACCAGTCCAGTACACTCAGCAGGAGACTCCTGATCATCTGGAAGAGTGACACAACGCAAGATAAATATGAAGGTTAATGGTCAGCTAACAAGTCCAATGAACTAAAACTATTGCGCGAGATAATACAAGGTTAATGGTGCCTGCTCGTGCATCATGGTGCCTGCTGGTGCATCATGGTGCCTGCTCGTGCATCATGGTGCCTGCTCGTGCATCATGGTGCCTGCTCGTGCATCATGGTGCCTGCTGGTGCATCATGGTGCCTGCTGGTGCATCATGGTGCCTGCTCGTGCATCATGGTGCCTGCTGGTGCATCATGGTGCCTGCTCGTGCATCATGGTGCCTGCTCGTGCATCATGGTGCCTGCTCGTGCATCATGGTGCCTGCTCGTGCATCATGGTGCCTGCTGGTGCATCATGGTGCCTGCTCGTGCATCATGGTGCCTGCTGGTGCATCATGGTGCCTGCTGGTGCATCATGGTGCCTGCTCGTGCATCATGGTGCCTGCTGGTGCATCATGGTGCCTGCTGGTGCATCATGGTGCCTGCTCGTGCATCATGGTGCCTGCTCGTGCATCATGGTGCCTGCTCGTGCATCATGGTGCCTGCTGGTGCATCATGGTGCCTGCTCGTGCATCATGGTGCCTGCTCGTGCATCATGGTGCCTGCTCGTGCATCATGGTGCCTGCTCGTGCATCATGGTGCCTGCTGGTGCATCAAGGTGCCTGCTGGTGCATCATGGTGCCTGCTCGTGCATCATGGTGCCTGCTCGTGCATCATGGTGCCTGCTCGTGCATCATGGTGCCTGCTGGTGCATCAAGGTGCCTGCTCGTGCATCATGGTGCCTGCTGGTGCATCATGGTGCCTGCTGGTGCATCAAGGTGCCTGCTCGTGCATCATGGTGCCTGCTCGTGCATCATGGTGCCTGCTCGTGCATCATGGTGCCTGCTGGTGCATCATGGTGCCTGCTCGTGCATCATGGTGCCTGTTGCTTCCATGGGGGGTTATTATGGGGGGGGAGAGGCTTGTGTATACTTGTAGGGGTCATCATTCTTGAAGGTGTTGACCCCTTGCACGCGTGTCAGGCGATCACCATTGTGGGTCAAATGACACTGTGTCCGCATGTGTTGAGCGTCGGGTAAAAAGAGTTGTGTCAAAGGTTACAAAGTGTCACATTACAGTAATGATTGAGCTCTATGTCGCTTCTCAGTCTGTCTCAAAGCTAGAACTGCATTGTACTGACAAAGTTATAGTGTCAGTGTAGTTCACTATTCACTGCTGACGATATACTGTGTATTCGCATTGGTATCACACCCTCCAGTGTCAAGAGTCGTGAAGAGTCCAGACATAGTTTCTGAAAATAATAAGGAAGGGAGTACCACCTCTGCCTGGAAGAAGGGGACCCTTAGCCTCGGAGGAAAGCACACATTACAGGGAATGTTTAGGTCCCTTCCAGTACAGTTAGTGTGTGCTTTTATTCCTACCACTCCCCCTTCCTTTTGTCTTTTGTTGTGTTTTATTAGAAAGAATATATTTAATAATTTTGGGTTCTCGTCTATATAGTTATCCATGAACTGTTCAGTTATCTCTTTGAGCCAATAAACCACTGAATACATGTATTTTAGTCAGTAGGCAATGCATGAAGATTTGTTTGTTTTAAACTTGTTCATGAATAATTGATGAGTTTGTAATAACAAACTAGACAAATTTCTTGATGGCTATTGGTATCTTTTCTTTTTATTCATGGCGTAGTCTTGCTTTCATTAAAGAAGTTTTCTATGCATTTCCATTTGTGTTGCAACTCTAACATGTTGACAGTGCTAATATTATGTGGCTGTCGCCCACTCTTGTGACTCACACTGCTCTCACTCTCACCAGTATGATGTGAGGAAGTCATCTGGCCCTCACACTACTCTCACTCTCACCAGTAGGGTGTGAGGGAGTCCTCTGGCCCTCACACTGCTCTCACTCTCACCAGTAGGGTGTGAGGGAGTCCTCTGGCCCTCACACTACTCTCACTCTCACCAGTAGGGTGTGAGGGAGTCCTCTGGCCCTCACACTGATCTCACTCTCACCAGTAGGGTGTGAGGGAGTCCTCTGGCCCTCACACTGATCTCACTCTCACCAGTAGGGTGTGAGGAAGTCCCCTGGCCTTCACACTGATCTCACCCTCCACAGTATGGCGTCCGGGAGTCCGGCGTTCTCTTCCACGTGATCACGCGACCGTCGCGAGGACGTCTTGACGTACACATCTGGCGTCGTCCCGAGGACACCATCTTCACCCTGCTGGACCTGAACAACGACCGCGTCGCCTACGTCCACGACGGCTCCGAGACCACTGAGGACTCCATCGTGCTGGAGCTGGAGCTGGTGACCCGCTCCGGGTACATTCTCCCTTCTTACCTGCAGGTGCGTCCACGCTCTATGGTGTGTCCTTGTCTGTGTGTGTCCAGGCTCTATGGTGTGTTCTTGTCTGTGTGTGCCCAGGCTCTATGGTGTGTCCTTGTCTGTGTGTGTCCAGGCTCTATGGTGTGTCCTTGTCTGTGTGCGTCCAGGCTCTATGGTGTGTCCTTGTCTGTGTGTGTCCAGGCTCTATGGTGTGTCCTTGTCTGTGTGTGTCCTTGTCTGTGTGTGTCCTTGTCTGCGTGTGTCCTTGTCTGTGTGTGTCCTTGTCTGTGTGTGTCCTTGTCTGTGTGTGTCTTTGTCTGTGTGTGTTCTTGTCTGTGTGTGTCCTTGTCTGTGTGTGTCCTTGTCTGTGTGTGTCCTTGTCTGTGTGTGTCCTTGTCTGTGTGTGTCCTTGTCTGCGTGTGTCCTTGTCTGTGTGTGTCCTTGTCTGTGTGTGTCCTTGTCTGTGTGTGTCCTTGTCTGTGTGTGTCCTTGTCTGTGTGTGTGTCCTTGTCTGCGTGTGTCCTTGTCTGCGTGTGTCCTTGTCTGCGTGTGTCCTTGTCTGTGTGTGGAGCTGCTGGCTGACGACCTGGAGCCAGATTCACGAAGCAGTTACGCAAGTACTTACGAACGTGTACATCTTTCCTCAATATTTGACGGCTTCGGTTACATTTATTAAACAGTTTACAAGCATGAAAACTTGCCAATCAACTGTTGTTATTGTTATAAACAGCCTCCTGGTGCTTCCGAGCTCATTAACTGTTAAATAATTGTAAACAAAGCCGCCAAAGATTGAGAAACGATGGACAGGTTCGTAAGTGCTTGCGTAACTGCTTCGTGAATCTGGCCCCAGGTTCGTAAGTGCTTGCGTAACTGTTTCGTGAATCTGGCCCCACGTTCGTAAGTGCTTGCATAACTGCTTCGTGAATCTGGCCCTAGGTTCGTAAATGCTTGCGTAACTGCTTCATGAATCTGGCCCCAGGTGTCTGCGTTTAAGGCATCGGTTCGTCAGGTCGGGCCATATGTGATTCTGGGTATGTCTTACTACACGGGTTTAAGGTCTGCTGCTTGTATTGATGTCGTGTAGTGTATGCATACACTCTTTGGTGTATTGGCGTAAGTTGTGTGTTAAGACATGTCGTGGTGCTGACGGTATAACCATTGTGTTCGTTATTATTGTCGTCCAGGGTCATGTTTGCAAATGTTCAATATATTGTTTCAATATGTTCAATATATTGTTCAATATAAATATATTGTTCAATATAAATATATTGTTCAATATAAATATATTGTTCAATATAGTGTTTTATATAGTTCAGCCCATCCTCTCGAGCGCTCACAACGACGATAAACATATGTACTAAATTGCTCGAACCTAGCTGAGCCAAGGACCTTAAAATAGAAAACGGGACATCATGGCAATTTTGCGAGCCGCTGTCATTTTTAGTACACCAGTTTTTGGCCTTAGGGGATTAATAGGTCAAAATGCGATATTGTACTCGCCTAGCTGTGCTTGCGGGGGGTTGAGCTCTGGCTCATTGGTCCCGCCTCCTTGTGTTCGAGAGGAAGAGTTGTATGATAAACGGTGTCTGCGCTCCATAGGGAAATGATGCCATGGTATTCACTTTCAAATTTCTACTTAGGGCATAAATAACATTAACATCAAGATTATTGCCCTAACACTTAGGGCAGAAATAACATTGACAGGAGACATTGCGTCATTGTTGATCAAATTGCACCCACCTGTTATCATCAGATCCCTTTATAGAGGTAATAATTGTTCTGGATAAGGTGGGGAAGATGCCGAGACGCCATCTTGAAAACTCTACAGTATTCGCACTTGTACTTGGAAAATAAAGTGATAAAGTTTTTTTCAACATTTAAATTTGCATATTAACGTAAAAGTTTACAATTTGTCTTAAACATCTGATATATTATGAAAAAAAATATCCTGTGGTGTGGGGAAAATCTCCCAACAGGAATTCATTTATTTATTTAATGTTTAACTATTTAGTTTATTTATTTCTTAAGTATTTTTTTTTAATTTAAGTGGACTGTATTTTCTTAGTGGACTGTATGGTTGTATTATCCGGCTAGGAGCATCCCTTCACAAACTTGGGGGGGGTTATTTAATGATATCATAATTGAAATTAATTAATTAGTTTAATTACACTACTAAAGGTTTATCTAGTAACTAATAATGGGTTATTTAAAAAAGGGAGAATACAGCTTAGCTGTTTTGTAGACTGTTGCTTATTTAATAAGCCATACACATGTCCTGATCAAATACCTGCATGATGGGGTTCTGGGAGTTTTTCTATTCTCCAAGCCCCCCCCCCCCCCCCGCCCTCCCTGTCTGGCCCGTTTCTGCCATGAGGGGGCTTGGTGGGCGGCTGCCGGAGTGTGATGATCCTTGGGACAGTCCTCTGTCCTTTTGTGGCCTTGTGCTCCTGCTGCTGTCCTCACAAATTCTGCTGGACGACTTTTCCTTATGTTTCGTTTTTCTCCCTCCCACCCTTTTCTCCGTTCTAATTGTCATTTCCCGCTGACCTTTTGCCTGTTTAGATTATTCTCTCGGCCTTCTTTTGTTTTGATGCCCGGGTGTTTGAGGAGGCATACTCTTGCACTCGTAGAACAGTAGTACCCAACGTCGAGAGCGAGGGGAACCTTTTATTGTCAATCCCCCTTTCATCACTGAACCCGATCTCGACGGACTGATAGTTCTTAAGGTGGCGTTTGTGGGGTGTATACCCACGATGCACCCCTAGGGGGGGTCCCGGCAAGATTGGCATCATGTCTCTTGTTGGGTGTCCTGCCTCTAATTGTGGCTCCGTGGTGGGTGTGGGGGCACATTCGTGAATGAAACTCTGACCTCTCGTTTTATGTCTCATTCTGTTCCTCTTATACTTTCTCGGGCTCGTAGGGTGTGCAACCAAGCCCCCGAGTCGGACCGTGTTGGAAGACGAGGCTCTGTAGCCCCCGCTGCATTGGGTCCCGACCTTGCTCCTCCTTTGACCCTCCTGACTACTCCCCTCGGCTCTCCTCCTTCCTCTGTGGTTGGGTCGAGCCACAAGCCCCCAGTTGTGACCACCTCGTCCCCTGGCATGGCTCACTCTCATTATGACAACTGCGCCTTTTAACCCCCTCTCTCTCTTTGGGGGGTTCTCAACGCCGTCCACGCCATGGCCGCACTCGCTCGATCCCTTCTTGTACTGATGCGTACCAGGCCTTGTTTGGTCCCGCTTCGTGAGCCAAATACCTTGATCTGCTCCCTCTGGGTTCTACACCTCCTGACGATTTCTCGCTCCATAGGCACCTTGTAGATTCAGTTGATGCCTCTGTTACTTTCAACCCCATTCGTCTCGGTACACGTGTCATTGCTGCTCCTTCTTAGGATGCAGCCACCCGCTTGGCCGCCTTATCCTGCCTTTGCGAGACCCCTGTTAGGATCTCCAAGAACGCTCGGTTGAATGCCAGTGTTGGCACTATTCTCCTCCCATCCCATGTTTCAACTGGTGTTAGGAATCTACAGGACTGCCACGAAGATATTCGGAATATCCTCGGAAGCCCAGGGCCATTCTGTCCTCCAGGTACACTCGTTTACTCGTCCCCCTCACGGTCGTCGCCGTCAGCCCCCTTGGGTTTTGAAGATTACCTTTGATGGTAGGACCCTTCCACCCTCTCTCATTCTTGCTTGTTCCAGGTGCTCCATCCAAGAGTACATTCCCTCTCCTCGGCTCTGTAATAAGTGCTGGAGGTTTGGACATGATGCCCTCTGGTGCTCCAGTACTGTCTCTCTCTCTGTCCCTTGTGTAGGGACGAAGGTCACTAAGTCGGAGTGCATTCTCCCCGGACTCGTTGCCTCAATTGCAGTTAGGCCCACCCTACCTTCTCCCGCGCGTGTGTATATTACAAACTTGAGGCAGCCGTCCTCACCTTGAAGCACCGGGAACGTTTATCTTCGCCGTCTCCCCCCTTTCGCTGGTGTCTCTTATGCTCGTGTGTTGCGTTCTTCCTCTCCTCATCCTTCCCACCTTCCTCAGTCTCACAATCGTTTCCAGGCCTTAGACCCAGACACACCCACTGTCTCCTCCACTGTTCCTTTAAATTCTGTCTCGAAGGGTCCCCCTCATGGTTCTCTGTCTGGGGGTGTTACATGCTAATTGATTAATATATCCCTAGCATTATTCTCGCGTTGGTTCTTTGCCAGAGTAATAATAATATGAATGTAGATTAAATTGGTTATATGTAATAATCATTAGAGGTAAATGTACCTCAATATACTACAGTAATATGAAATAGTATATGACACAAAAGGAGTTAGTAGCTATGATCTCAACAGGAGATCATCAATGTAACTAAATGGTCATTTTTCTACAACAATAGTTAACAGCTTAGCTGTAAAAATAAGAGATGTGAAATCGGTGGCCACACTCTACTGATGATGTGTTGCATCGGGCAAATTGTTGCACGTGAAGGTGGGTACCCTAACTCCTTGCGTGATGTGGACGCGGGAGCTGAAATGCAATTACAATGTAGAAATCTTCTACATTAAGAAAGAAGGATATATATCTAATACTGCGGAATTCTTCCACAAGAAAAATAATTAATATATCCAGCACTGTAGAATTCTTCTACAGAAATTAATGAATATACCTTCCTAAATAAATTACAGAATACGGCTAGAGAGTAAACGTACTGGATTTTGTTGGTATATTCACATCCTAACTACAACTAGCCTAAATGTTAAATGTGATCACAGTATAACAAATAGAGAATTAATAATTGAGGGCCAAGTGTCTGTTGGTCGAGGGAACGACTCCAATCCTCTGTCCTGAACTGCTGTTGCTAAGACAGCAACTACGGGCTGGAGAGTTAATTAGTTCCAGGACACTGCCGTTATGTGCCGAAATAAAGTGGCACACCTCTCGTGGTTGTGGGAGCAAATAAAATGACACTAAGCAAGATCCTTGCAATGGCGCCTCTAGTACGAGTGGTGTCTCTAGTCACGCTGCTAATATGGT